ACACCTTTGGGATGAATTAGAGCGGAGACTGCGAGCCAGGCCTTCTCGTCCAATACCAGTGCCTGACCTCACAAATGCACTTCTAGAAGAATGGTCAAAAATTGCCATAAACACACTCCTCAACCTTGTGGAAAGCCTTCCCAGAAGAGTTGAAGCTGTTATAGCTGCAAAGGGTGAGCCAACTCCATATTAAACCATAAGGATTAAGAATGGGATGTCATTAAAGTTCATGTGCATGTAAAGGCAGACGTCCCAAAACTTTTTGCAATATAGTGTGTGTGTGTGTGTGTGTGTGTGTATGTATGTGTGTGTGTGTGTGTGTGTGTATATGTGTGTATATATGTGTGTATGTATATATATATATATATATATATATATATATATATATATATATATATATATATAAAATGTGTATTACACTTATGGGAAAAAGAAAGTACACCCGCCATCAATTCTATGTTTTTATTCATCAGGGTCTAAATAACAATCACTTCTATAAACAAAATGGTGAGAACAAAAACATACAACAGATTTCAATATGTAGTTATTGTTTTGCAAAAACTAAACCAACATTCAGAAACCAGGTGGGAAAAAATAAGTATACCCTATAATTCAGTAAAGTGGAAAAACAATAACTTGAAGTAAACTTTTTTTGTAGGAGTTTATCCGTCTCTCAAATTGTTTTGGTGAAATTTTGGACTCTTCTTTACAACATTTCACTCTTCTTTACAACATTGCAAAACCTTCTTAAGATCCCGCCACAGCATCTCAGTGGGGATGAGATCTGGACATTGACTTGGCCATTCCAACACCTTGATTTCTTTCCTTCTTTAGCAAATTGAGATGTCAGTTTGCTGGTGTGCTTGTCCTGCATTGTCCTGACCCAATTTCAGCCCAGCCCAGCTGGACAGATGGCCTCACATTTGTCTCAAGAATATTCTGCTATAAAGTGGAGTTCATCATTGTCTCAGTGACTGCAAGTTTCCCAGGTCATGTGGCTGCAAAACAAGCCCAAATCATCACCCCTCCACCACCATGCTTGACAGTAGGTATGGGGTGTTTGTGGTGATACACTGTTTTCACCAAACATGGCACTGTGCATGATGACCAAACATCTCTACTTGGCCTCATCAGTCCAAAGGATATTGTTCAAGAACATGCTGCTATATTCTTTTTGGAGAGAAGAGACTTCCTTATAACCCTTCCCAGTTTGCTGAGCAGCAACAATTGTTTCTCTGAGGTCATGGCTGGTGTCCTTTCTTCTTGACATGAAGTAGACACACACCTGAGTGCTCCAGAACACCAAACCACCAGAAGTTCTGTTTTTATAGAGGTTGTCACACTTCTTGGTGATGAATTAATCTTGTGCATTTCATTAGTAACATCTGGCTGCTAATTACTCTGTTAATGATTGTGGAAATAGGTGCACTTATTTTTTCCAACCTGGTTTCTGAAGGTTGGTTTACTTTCTGGGGAAAAAAAAAAAAAAAGACTACATATTGAAGTCTGTTGTGTTGTTTTGTCATCACCTGAGGTTATTTGTTTATAGAATGTGGTGAGGACCACACAATTGTTATTTAAGCCCTGATAAATAAAAACATAGAATTAAAGAAGGATGTACTTTCTTTTTTCCCATGACTGTATGAAGTTTCACGGGAGACAATGAGAATTATAATCAAAATGATCAACTCCAAAGGAGTGGAACTCCAGGGTGCTTGGTGTCTTCGACGCCGTCATTACAGCAATCGAACCCCCAATGCATTACGGCATATGG